ACCCTAGGTTCACATCTGTGCGGGTGGTGCCGCTGCGGATCCACATGAAAACCACCCACACAGAGAAATGCGGACCCGCGGGCGGGTGCCATTAGTTTTAATGGCATGCCACCCGCACTGGAAAACGCAACCGTACTGGGAACTTAGGTTCCCATGCAGCCTGAGTTTTCCAAAGAAGTGCAGGAACTTCTCCCCTGTGTGTCATGGGCACGGGAGTCTAATCAAATGAATGGGCTCTCGTGCCCATGCAAAACGCGGCCAGCAAGGCCGCATAGATGTGAACCGGGGGTAAAGAGACATTTAGCTTATAAGCCTTCTGCAACTATGAAGGCTCGTAACTAACTGAGGAATTATGGAGAAGAGAATGGGCCAAACCAACTAACCTAAACAAACAGGTAAACTGAATTATACCACTGCTGTTCCCATGTAGCTGCACCTGCAGCAGTTATCTAAAGATAGAGACAGATTTCCAAGTCTGGATGCCATGCACATGCTGTCAGCTTACCAATAGCTTAAGTCCTCATGCACACTTGACGTTTTTACAGCTGCTGTCTTTGGCTTTTGATGTTTTTTTCTACAGCTAGTAAACCCCCCAGCATGTTATCCTATGTGTCCATGCATTCATAGACTGTAATCAACGTTTATTGGCAGGGACATTTTTTGGCTGGAAAAAAAACAAGGACTAGTGGCTTTCTAGAGGAGTTTTTTTTAGCTGTAAAAATGCTCTAACGCTGAAAAACGCAGCAAAAAAAAACACTGCAAACCGGCATTTTTGGAAATTTTTTTGACCAAAAACAGTAAAAACCATAAACATGGAAAAACGCGGGAAAACGCAGCTAAACGAGGCAAAACGCCGTTAAACGCTAATGCAAAAATGCTGAAAAACTGTTTGTAACGTGACTTTACCAGCGTTATCAAAATGTCCAGTGTGCATGAGGACTAAATAGGCTGAGCTGCTGCTGCTGAGCGCATAAGCCGGTCATTCCAGCAGCAAGTATCTGCAGATTCTCGCTGCAGGAATCCAGCAACCACACCAACTCAACCGCGTGAAAATGGCATAAGTCCTCATGCACACTGGACGCTTTGATAATGTTGGTAACATTAGCTGTGTAAAGTAACATTAAAAATGTGAGTTTTTTATCGTTTCTGCACTAGCGTTTTGCCATGTTTAGCAGTGTTTTCCCACGTCTTTCTGCATTTGAGGTTTTTAGTGTTTTTTTGATCACAAAAAAATTTGTTTTGGTCAAAAAAAGACGAAAAAAAAACGCCGGGTTTTCAGCATTAGAACGTTTTTACAGCTAGAAAACTCCTCTAGAAACCCACAACTCCTGGTTTTATTTTCAGCCAAAAAATGTCACTGTCAAAAAACGTTGATTACAGTCTATGTGTGCATAGACACATAGGATAACATGCTGGGGGGGTTTACTAGCTGTAGGAAAAACCATCAAAAGCCAAAAACAGGCGCTGTAAAAACATCCAGTGTGCATGAGGACTAAGCAGGGGTGTCCCTAGGCAGGTGTGGGGGGTGCGCGCCACACCAGGTGACACCTTTTCCACGGGGTGACACTGGACCCGCTCCACCAGGGGCGGACTGAGCATTTGGGCACTGCCCAAGGGCCCGGGGTCACTGCAGGGCCCCATGAGAGGCTCAGTCCGTCCCTGTATCGTTTCTGAAATAAGCAAGCATTGAGGAGACGGACAGTGAGGCAGGCACTTCGGACACCTCTCCTCCTCGGAGTTTCAGCAGAGGGGTGGTTCCACATCCCTGCCACGGGTGCTGAAGTCAGAGTGCTGGAGGGGCTGGCAGAGTTTGCAGCAGGTATGTGTGTAATCCCCCCACCCTGGTGACAACACTGCAGCTTCATGTAGTCGGTAGGGGGGGGGAAAGAGGGCAGAGAGAGAGAAGAGAGAGAGAAGGCAGAGAGCTGGTGGAGAGATCAGTTAGGATGCAAGCCGACGACCCCGCAGGATGGATCGGATCTATGGATTGGGGAGGATAATGGCTCAGACTGCAATCCATTATGCTCAATCCGCAGATCCGATCCATCCTGCGGGGATCATCGAAGGGGGTGTCACCAAGCGTTACCGCACCGAGTGACACCAACCCTAGGGACGCCACTGGGACTAAGTGTTCAAGAACAGGGCATGTTCCTGTACATATTGAAGATGGCTAAACATACATTGGTGGATGTTAAGGCAAGCCTGAGGAAGAAGTGGAAAATGACCACAAAAGAAATGTGAGCATTCTCCTTTAATAATAAAGATTTCTTTTTTTTTAATGAAGAAAAAGGTAAAAAAGCTGTAAACATGCATGTAGAAACGCACAGTGAATGCGGAAATTGAGGTGTAAACAAGCCTTTAAAGTATATTTTCACTTTTGCAGAAAAAATGGGGTAAACCTACTTTATATTTAGATGAACTGAACACATCCTACCGCTCTGAAGCTACCTTTTGTCTTCCTTGCTGCTGAGGATTAATCGGGTGCCAAAGCCCAGGAACATGATCTTGCTCCTCGCAGTGCACAGATTCAAAGAAATCGGGCTGCACACAAATGACATCTTGTTGGTTTCATTAAACAACAAGCACATATAGCACACACTACAGTTATTCCACCTGAACCAACATGTTTCACCCATAACTGGACTTAAAGTGGTAGTAAACTGCATCCAAAAAAAAATCCCTGCAAGGTATAATGGGCTATGTATAGCATACTAGCACATTATGTAAAACTTACCTTAAAACCAAGCCCTCCAGCAGCACGCTGTCACCACTGTGGAGGCTTCCATCTTCACCCGGTCTGCCGTTTGGATTCGCGAGCTCCAACCATCTGACTGGCTGATCCGCAATGACGTCACTCCCTCGCATGCGCACGGGGATCTCAGGACAGGGCATGCACAGGCTCTAAAAAAAACCCTAATATTTCCTAAATGGTGCTCGTTTAGGAGATATTCATTTTACCTACAGGTGAGGTTTATCATAAACTCACCTGTAGGTAAAAATGAACAAAGTGGCTTTACTACCACTTTAGGCATCAGTATACGCATCATACAGTACATGGGATTAAGCATCTAGCATAGGAATGCTATAGTCTCATCAATCCAGCATGTAATGGAGATGAACAAGGGGAGACATATTTGAAGTCCTGCCTATGTCAAAACTATGGCTACTCCCACAAACACAGTAGAGAAAAAAGTGTATACATGAAAGGATAGGAAGTGTGTTATTTGCAGGATTACCTAGTAAAAATAAAAGGAAATAGAAGAAAATAGCAAACTGATGTAACCAGTATGAGGATTCTTAAAGTGTTACTAAACCCAGGACCCTGCATTCACTATATCTGGTCTTCCACAGTACACAGAACATGGAAATGCAATTATTTTAGCAGTATATAGCAGTTTTGTGACTACCAGTGTCCAGCCGAGCACTGTTTAATCTTGTAGGAGGAGTTTTCATTCTCCTCTGACTGTCCTATAAGGCTGCATGACCCCTGACCCTCTGTCTGGACAGTGATATTGGCCCTGTGCCAATCCACATGCACCCCTCTCAAAATAAAAAACTCTAACAATACACACCAAACTAAGCATGTGCAGGCTTGCCACTGACTGCTGATCTGTACTATGGCAGATAGATTGGAGACAGTAAAAGAAGGGGAGGATCAGAGTACACAGGATCAAACAGCCTTTTTACACAATGCAGAGGATTAACCCCACAGTGAGTATAACAAGCATGCTTTACTGATTTACAGATTGATTTGACTTTCGTGGATTTAGTAACACTTTAACTGCTTCCCGACCGCCCTATAGCAGAAGTACTGCTACAGGACGGCAGGGCTGCACAAAATCACATCACTATATGTGATTTTGTATTTCCGGGTATGGGGCACGTGCGTGCCACTCTACCCGCACCGCCATTGGTGGCTACAACTGTTGATCACCGGGTCCCGGCCAGAGATTCTCTGCCGGTACCCGGCGATCGCCAAGGAACAGTGACAGAGGAGAGGTCAATATGTAAACAATACAGATCTCTCCTCTGTCAGCACCAGCACACTGCTTTGTATGGCTCTTGGAGAGCCATACAAAGCAGCGTACTTACACAGTAAACCACACACAAAATAGTAAAACAGCACACAGCACACATTTAACCCTTTGATCACCCCAGATGTTAACCCCTTCCTGCCCAGTGTCATTAGTACAGTGTCAGTGCTTTTTATTAGCAATGATCACTGTATTAGTGTCAGTGTGGATGGCAGTGGCAGTTAGTCAGTTCCCCCCAGTGTCAGAATGCCCGCTGCAGTCCCTGAGTCGCTGATCACCTTCATTACTACTATGGAAAAAAAAAAATTCCAGTATATATACATTTGTAAACGCTATACATTTCATGTAAACTAATTCATTTACATGTATTGGGTTTTTTTTAGCAAAGACATGTAGCAAAATATATTTTGGGCTAAATTTGATTTTGAAATGTTTTTACTGGATGTTTTATAGCAAAAAGTACAAAATATAGGTTTTTTTGTTTCAAAATTGTCGGTCTTTTTTTGTTTATAGCGCAAAAAATAGAACACGCACAGGCAATCAAAGACCACCAAAAGAAAGCTCCATTTGTCGGAAAAAAAGGACATAAATTTCATTTTGGTGCAGCGTTGCATGACCGCGCAATTGTCAGTTAAAGTAACACAGCACTGTATCGCAAAAAATGGCCTGGTCAGGAAGGGGGTAAATCTTTGCAATATACTTCATTTATTATTTTGGGGTGTAGATATTCTTTAATGTAGCCCTGTTTTTTCAATTAATACTTTATTTGAATCAAAAAATGAAAATGTCAAGATTGACAGCCTGTCATGGTTTAAGATTCACACTAGTGCGGGTCGTGTGGAATAGGCTGCTGTGTCTGTGTTTCACACAAGTTAAAGTTGCATGCACCTTTACCACAATGCATCCGCAGGGAACCCGCACTTGCGATTATGCTGTGGGATGAGCTGCATGGAGGTGCCATTCAGGATGAATGGCACCCTCACGCGTCTTGTAAGAGAAATGCGATGTGGCTGCGGGTGCAGGAACAGGTGCGATTCCTGAAACCAGCCAGCAGCCTGCGGGCTAGTGTGAACCAGACCTTGGTCTATGGCCACCAGCCAAAGAAAGCATTTTCAATCAGAAACATCCTCCCAGGTAGATTTGCACTACGAAAAGTTTGTTTCAGGAAAGTTTCTAAAATTTTTAACCAGTTGCCCTTCTGAGGATTTACCTCCCTTCCTGACAGGCCATTTTTTGCGTTACTGCGTTACGTTAACTGACAATTGCGTGGTCATGCAACGCTGCACACTAATGAAATTTATGTCCTTTTATTCCCATGAATTGAGCTTTCTTTTGGTGGTATTTGATCGCCTGTGCGGTTTTTATTTTTTGTGCTATAAAAAAAAAAGACCGACTATTTTGAGCATAAAACAATATTTTTGACTTTTTAATATTAAACATGTCCAGTAAAAATAATTAAAAATCAAATTTATTCCAAATGTATTGTGCTACATGTCTTTGCTAAAATAAATCCCAATACGTGTAAATTAATTGGTTTACTTGAAAGTTATAGCGTCTACAAATGGCAGTATATATACTGGGATTTTTTTTAAATTTTACTAGTAATGGCGGCAATTAGCGGCTTATAGCGGGACTGCGGTGGGCATTCTGACACTGAGGGAACTGACTTGGTGTCACTGACATCCCCAATGACACCAATACAGTTATCAGAGCTAAAAAAACACTGACACTGTACTAATGGCACTGGGCAGAAAGGGGTTAACATAAGGGGTGATCAAAGGATTAACTGTGTGCTGTTTTACTTGTGTCTGTGTGTGTCACTGTAACCACACTGCTTTGCATGGCTGTGCTGTGCACAGCCATCCAAAGCAGTGTGCACGAGCTGATAGGGAGGAGAACTATTTTGTTTACATTCTTGGCAATCACCGTGTGCAGGCACGTAATTACTGGCTGGGACCTGGTGATTGACAGCCGTGGCCGCGAATGGCAGCGCAGGTAGGGTGCGCGCCCTGTGTTATTTTGCGCACCCGTGCCACCCTGTAGCAGTATATCTGCTATAGGGCGGTCGGGAAGTGGTTAAATAATTAATGGGGTCAAATCCACATTCATTTTGACGACAGTGATGAGAAAACAATTCTAAAGAGTGGAATGGAAAAGTATCATTACAAAATTGAATGGTAAAAGCAAACAAAACTTTGAAGTACTTGCATTAGTTAAGTCATCGAATGTACTGATGGACATTCATGCGTGAATGTTGGTGCAAAAATCTACTGTGTGTGTGGCCAGCCTTAGATGAGATCAACAAGAAAACAAAAAAAGGAGGCATTCCCTATGTGTAGCAATACAGTATGTGCATAGTTACACATTATACATGTTGTAAGGCACTGACTGGCAGGATTGTGGATGGATGGTGTATATTTTATCTAGGTTTTTCTTATACACAGGGTGAGGGACTCCCAGGGGTGGACTGACAACTCATGGGGCCCCCAGGCAATAGAGGATCATGGGGCCCCTGTGTCCTTGCCCAAACTCAAAAAAGCCTATGAAAAAGGTACCAGGGGCATCTCATGGGGCCCCCTACTGACCCCGGGCCCTCGGGCAGTGCCTGAGTTTCCAAATGGTCAGTCTGCCCCTGGGAACTCCAGGAATTGTGGGGCCCCTCACAATGTGACATATGGAGAAAATAAACATTTTCTAAGTCCTGTCCCTGCTCCTGGATACCTGGAGGCTGGAAACTCTGTACAGCTTTGAGTGGGAATTTTTTCAATTCTAGGTCCATAACCGACCTGCTTGCCAGAACTTATTAATTATTCTCAGCTGTCCACTTCTGTAACTCTCTCTGGTTCAGCTCTGGATAGCTATGGTTGATGCTCTATGTCTGAATATCTCTGGAATATATTTAATCTCTGTACACCTACACTGAGCTATTTCTGGATGCCCATAAAAGATGTTTCTTCTCTACTTACCTGTGGATGATTCTCTATGGCAACCTTTCTCAACCAGGGTGCCCAGGCACCCTGGGGTGCCTTGAGGTTTCTTCAGGGGTGCCTTGGCAAAACGTCTACAAATTGCACAAAACTTGTATACAAGCCAGCGGGTGGAAGAAGCCTGCCTTTTAGTTACACAAAGCCATAGGTTTTCATTGTGCACCATTATGACCTTCTAGCCGCTGGCTTCCTGACAACTAATGACCATCAGTTGATAAGGAGGATGTTAGCTGCCTGCACAGCATCCTAGTTTGACCTTCCCCTGCCCCTCTCCATCAGTGCTGGGGTCACATTAGCTCAGTGATGGAGAAAAACTGAGGGAGAAGAGAAACATTGGAATACTAGTCAGTACCAGTGTGCAAAAGTGTATTTGCTTTGGAATAATAAATCCCCTCTAATGTTGGGTGTCCTACATGTAAGGAAGTTGATGCATCATATAAAACTAGAATAGTTTTTCACATTTTAAAACGGGGTGCCCTTTTAAAATGATGGACAGTCTCAGGGTGGATTTGATTTAAATCATGATTTAAGTCACTAGTGAAAAGGCTGGATTTAACCATTAGCCGCCCGGCCAATGGCCGTTTGGCGGCTTCAGAAGTGTCTCTGCACTCCGGGTGCACGCCATTTGGCGTGCTCCCGCACATGCGCCGTTTGCGCTAATGCAGAGCGACGCAGCAGTGCGATCTGTCACCGGCCGTGCACCTCGGACACGGCCGATGACAGATCCGAGTACCGGCTCCCGTTGCTGGTACCATGTGACCTGCTGTGACCAATCACAGCAGGTCACATGACAGTTGTATACAATGGATGGCTTCATTCATGATGCCATCCATTGTATACTAGTGCCTAGCTGTGAATGGTCACAGCTAATCACATGCACATGTCATGTGATTAGCTGTAACCAAATCACAGCTAAGCATAAAAAAAAAAAAAAAAAAAGCTGAATGAATCGATTTCATTCAGGTAAATGCTTGCTTATAGCAAAGTAATTCTTTGCTATAAGCAAATTGTGTAAAAAAAAAAAAAAAATACTGATCACTTCCCCAAAGTAGTACAATGTTACTATGGTAACATTGTACTACTTTGGTCATAGTAAAATATGAAAAAAAAATCTTTAAAAAAAAAAAAAATGTAATAAAAAATTAAATATAATAAAAAAATTAAAAAAATTTAAAAATATATATATATTTTTTTTGTTTCATACTGTCACCAGTCAGTGTCCCTGTTCACCGCCATGCCAGTTATATGATGACGCTGTACTGCACTGGTGACAGTATGTAAAAAAGAAAATAGTGAAAATAATTTTTTTAATTTTTTCATTTTCCGAAAAATTATGACAAAAAAATATAACTTCAAAAAACTCGCCATGCCTCTTATGAAGTACGTCGGACTGTCTACTCTGCAAAAAGGGGTCATTTGGGGGATATCTGTACTGTTCTGACATTCTTGGACCTCAAGAAATTAGATTGGCCGTCAGTACTTCAGGATTGATCAATATTCAGATCTATACCATAGTTTGTGAACTCTAACTTTCCTACAAACTAAAAAACACACATCCTAATTTGGGTTATTTTCACCAAAGACATGTAGCAGAATACATCTCGGCCTAAATTTATGAAGAACAATTATTTATTTGTAAACTTTTATAACAGAAACAAAGAAAAATGTGGGTTTTTTTCAAAATTTTTCGTCTTTTTTTGTTAATTTAGCAAAAAATAAAAACCCCAGCGGTGATTAAATACCACCAAAAGAAAGCTCTAGTTGTGTGAAGAAAATGATAAAATTTTAGTTTGGGTACAGTGTTGTATGACCGCGCAATTGTCATTCAAAGTGTGAGAGCGTTGAAACCTGAAAAATGGCCTGGCAGGAAGGTGTAAAATTGCACGGTATTGAAACGGTTAAATCGTACTTTAAAAAAGAGCAACTGTCATCTGTGTCCTGCAGCGGCTCCTCCTCTGACCTGCAGTTCACTCACTGACAGTCCTATTCACTTTAATGGGACGGCTGGTGATGCGGCAGTGACACAAGGTGAGGGACATGGCAGCGAGTGGATGTCCACTAACAGGCGCTGCCATGATGCATCTAAAATGACAGGTGCTCTTTAAATGTAAGGACTCCGACTCATTATTCCTGGTAGTTAGAATCTTTAATATTTGCAAACCAAATGAAGGTTTGTTTTTTAGAATAATAATCTATCAGGTTAGTAAAACAGCGATATCAGATTTTAGGTTAATAGGTTAATCACACATAGCTGAGAGAACTACTCAAATTCTTCTATTTCATGTTTTTTCTCATGGTTACTGTGAAATTGTGTGACTGTATCAATGCAGTGCATGTTATCTCAGATTGCAGAGCTTGGATTCATTGAATGAGTTTACAAAAATGTAAATATTGCAGAATATACAGCCTCATGCTACATAACGAAGCTCCATTTCATGCTGAATAAACTCAATTATTAATGTATCTTAAATAGAAAACTATCTTTAGATAGATTTTTTACTCCAAAAGCATTTTATTAAAATACATTTGATAAAAATAAATAAAATCCAATTTATATAGAAAAAAATCATCGATTTTTATCACTTTTTAAAGGGTGTCTCTGGACTGTCCATCATTTTACAGGGTGCCTTGACTGAAAAAAGGTTGAGAAACACTGCTCTATGGAATACACTAAAATGAATGACAGAATGGAATGCCCATGACCCAATGGAACAGAAGGGAATAGACAACAATGGAACAGAAGGGAATGCCCATAGAGAATAATGGAGTCAGAAGCATTAGACATATCACATAAATCCTTAGACATACTCTACAAGTTCAGATGTGATGTTAAAAATTTAGATTAAAAAGGATTATTATTGCTTTCTATGGAATAACAAAAGTGAGAGTGACAGAAAGAAATGCCCATAGAATATAATGTGAACTAAAAATAAAATTATTTAGGATTATAGCTGTTTTCTTGGGAATGTCAGATGAATGACACATGAAGGAATGCCCATAGAGTATAATGAGAAGTAAAATGTGATTTGAGGTCAGAAGAATGAGATGTATCAAATAAATCCTTAGCAGACATACTCTACAAACTCATATGTGATGTTTGAAATTCACATTAAGTGGGATTATCTTTGTTTTCTATGGACTGACAAAGGTGAATGACAAGGGAGGGAATGCTCATAGCATATAATAGGAAACAAAATATGAACTCATTTGTAGACAAATCTGAGAAAACATAGCAATTTCTTCTTTCCCACAGGTGTTCCTCCAATAGAGTAGCAGATTGTAAAATTGGAATCGTTTGGGTATAATGGGAACCAAGATGCAACCTGGAATCAGAACCATTCAACATTCCAAATAAATCCTTAGCAGACATACTCTTCATGTTCAGTGGTGATGTTTAAAATTGAGATTAAACTGGATTATCTTTGCTTTCTATGGAACGGGAAAGGTGGGTGACAATGCCCATAGAATATAATGAAAAGGCAAAATATAAATATAGTTGCAGACAAATCTGTGTAAAAAATAACTGTCATTTTCCAACTGTCAAAAATAACTGCCATTTTCCAACTGTCATTTTCCAACTGTCAAAAATAACTGTCATTTTCCAACTGCCAAAAATAACTGTCATTTCCAACTGTCAATTTACTAACTGTCATTTTCCAACTGTCAAAAAATAACTGCCATTTTCCAACTGTCATTTTTCCAACTGTCAAAAATAACTGTCATTTTCCAACTGTCAAAAATAACTGTCATTTTCCAACTGTCAAAAATAACTGTCATTTTCCAACTGTCATTTTCCAACTGTCATTTTCCAACTGTCAAAAAACTGTCATTTTCAAAAAAATAACTGTCATTTTCCAACTGTCATTTTCCAACTGTCAAAAATAACTGTCATTTTCCAACTGTCATTTTTTTCCAACTGTCAAAAATAACTGTCATTTTGCATATTTCCAACTGTCATTTTCCAACTGTCAAAAATAACTGTCATTTTCCAACTGTCATTTTCCAACCAACTGTCATTTTCCAACTGTCAAAATAACTGTCATTTTCCAACTGTTTTCCAACTGTCAAAAATAACTTCATTTTCCAACTGTCATTTTCAATAACTGTCATAAATAACTGTCATTTTCCAACTGTCATTTTCCAACTGTCATTTTCCAACTGTCAAAAATAACTGTCATTATTCAACTGTCATTTTCCAACTGTCAAAATAACTGTCATTTTCCAACTGTCATTTTTCCAACATTTTCCAACTGTCAAAAATAACTGTCATTTTCCAACT